TATCAAAATTTGCAATAAATTAGGTTCATTTCAGTTAGGTTCAGTAACTAAATACATTTCTTCTATGTACAGACATTAGAATTTAACATGTGGTTCCCCGTAGTTTCTACAGTTTGAACTAGTTTGATTGGTACAACATTAGCAGGATTTAGCGTAGTCTCTAGATGACCTTGAAATTGGTTTTTGAATTGACTTGGTGATCAGAAACAAGTTGCAGATTGATCTTATTTCTACTTTCTTATAGCATAGTAGTAAATATATGGATAGAAGGTATGGGAAAAACGATTCCCCCTGGGCTTTATTCCGAAATACTTGAGTAACTTTCAAATTCACTTCAGATTAGACGACGAAATGATATCAGGTAGAGAACCATTGAAAAATAGAAGGTACTGGAAGGATGTTTCGTCCCAGTTTGAGGCTGATCAACAATATAGCAAAAATATTCATTTAGACATCTATAAAACAAAATAATCGAGCGAAGAATATTCTTTTCGATAAATTCCTCTTGCGACTTTACAAATATATATACGTTTATATGCATAGAATATTCTAGATTAGTAGTTAATATCAATATTAGTGATTTTAAATAATATCCATTTGCAAACTATGATCAATGGAATTACAGTTCATTAAAGATGCTTAAATTATAATAATAATAAAGATATAATAGCGAATAGAATATAAACTAAAATTAGGAAAATTCCCCGAAAATTCAGGATCGTTCAAACCTAGATAGCCAAGGTAATGATAACGTCTGAACTATTTTCTTTTAGATGCATAAATTAGGATTGGTTATATGGATCCCTAACAGCCTCAGCAATATTTAGTAGTCGAACTCTTAAAGCAAAATTGAGATTATTAGGTATGCGGCAAATGACCCTGAAAGCATGATTAACGTCAATCTTGTGTTCTTTCTGTATCCACAAGACGAGACGGAATAGCGCTTTGAATAGATTTTGTTTGTCCTTTACTTGATTTAACGACGCAGGGTGATATTCGGAAATCCGACGAGAAACACGCCTAATTGTACGGCCTATGTAACTGGCTCCACAGAAACATTTAAATTGGTACGAACACATGGAAGAGGCAAAATTAGGCAGTTTCTCTTTTATTCCCGAACGCAAAAGAGGAGTGGTTTTAAAGATACAGCGTAATTCAGCAGCAGGAAATGCTCTTTTTACCGCATTTCTAAGGCGCTGTGTTAGTATCTCACTGGTGTTGTCTCCTAGGAACTGCATCTGTAAGAATAAGGCGCTTTTTGGAACTGTTGGTAACTTGGGCTGTTTTGGTTTCAGATTCATATTCTTATCAATAAACTTTTCAAGATAACCATTCTCACTTAGCAACCGTTTAATATTGTTAAGTTCCTCGTCAAGACATTCGTCCGGGCAAATCTCTCTTGCTCTGTGGATCAAGCACTTTGTTAGATTGCGTTTGTATTTCAAGGGCACAAAGCTGAGAAAATGTGTGTACTGGCCCGTTGATGTGGGTTTTCTATAAACACTTCTTCTTATTGTGCCGTCTTCTTTTCTGGTCATAAGGACGTCTAAAAATGAAATACTAGAGTCTTTTTCCTTATCATTACTAAATTTTATTGCAGGATGTAACTCATTAAATTTATCCACGATATTCTTTGCTTCTCTTTCGTTCTTCAACAACAATACGCACATATTGGGTTTCGAATCCAGCACCTCCCAGTAGTTACAAGGCAAGTTCGTATACCATTCAGCCACGGGGATTCGATTCACTGGCCCAGTGGCGGAATTGTTTACGAGTTTGTCTTGTATCAGGAAGGTCCTGTGTTCGAACGCCGATAGCTGAATACTGCTGGTTATCTCGAAAGTATGACAAAGCAGCTCTCCAGTATTTCCTGGCTTTCAGTGCCTCTCTAACTGATATCGATCCTTGATCTAACCTCTACAAACTAATTGATCGAAATTGATCAGAAATGCTCATATTACATTTTCTACGGTTACTGCAAACTCCAAGTCACTATTGATCTACAGGAGATTATTATTCCTATTCCAGTAAAAATAAGTGAAATCTAAATCCTAAAGGAGTGTCACCTACAATGATTTAAAAATGTTACTCCATATTTCAGTCATTCTTTTTTTAAATTAGCGCAACTGCTTTTGTTTAAGTCAGTCAATTCAATGTTTAATTGATTTAAATTTCAATCTTAGCGCGAATCAGTATAATGCACAGAATCAATGAGGCATTTTAAATCAAAATTCCAGTTTTTTCAAGCAGATTTATTTACATTTTTTTATTTCTCCTTATCAATAAAGTCCATAATTTTAGAAGCTTGAACTGTTTTTTCTATTGAATTCTTTGAATTAAATGTACATTGGCACGAGATATACTACTGATAACAAAACAGCGGATAAAAAAAGCGATCAACGAATATTGAAATAAACAAAAGGAAGACGTTTTGCCATCGATGATTTAATATTCTTGCATAACATAAAGCAAAATGTAATAAAAGTGAAGAAAGTACATTCACAAAAGTCACGAAACTTTATAGAACTTTAAAAGAAGTGATGAGAAAAAGGCAATGAGATGGGCGGGGAATTGAATAGAAGAGTCGGCTGATAGAATGGATCTAAATATATATTGAAACTTGCTAGCCATTACGATTGATCTCGAGTCATTTCACACACACACACACGCACAAAGAGATTCTGTAATAAATATTTTATGTATTCTGACAGATCATAGTCGAGACAGCTAGTTTCGTTTTTTTAGTAACAGTCAAAACGTTGATGTCTTTTCTCTATAAAGGGAAAAACACAAGTAGTTCAGGAAAGATATCGATCTTTTCGGCAATTTCATTCTCAAAAGCAGCTGTACAATCGCAATTATATACATTAGTTTACATGCATACAGTTATTATTATTTAATTCCACATAGAAACGAAGGAGGTAATAATTTTTTCAACTTGATATGAAAGTTTGAAGGTACGAATATAGATTACACGGGGCTTAGAGACAAGATTGTATAGGATTAGAAAACATTTACAACATATGCGAAGTTAATATTTGATAACTGGAGAAATAATTTTGAAGGCGAATAAAAGGTGATAATTATTTTTAACTTGATATGAATTACAACAGGCTTAGAAACAAAATTTAAGCAGGGATAGAACAAATTACAGGTGTATAGAAAATGAGTATGGAAACAAATTGAAATCGAAATTTTCAACTTGAAATGTAAGTTAGGAGGTGTGAATACAGATTACAAGAAACATAGAAACGAAAAATTACTCAGGATTAGACTATAATTGTAAAATGGTTATTCTAAACGGTTTACAAGTGTGATCAGGAGGAGCATGGAACCAACCTAAAATAATTGATTTTATAACAAAAATAATGTGATGAATTGAATGAAGACATAGGGAGAAAATTACACACACAGAGAACAAAGCAAAACAGAAAGAACTGAAGGATAAGGAAATATAGCAAACTAGGTCCATGGTAGTTGTAAAGGCTGGACTCGTTTCTTTTGAACACATAGTTCCGGGTTTCCGATGCATATGGTGAGAGCTTCCACTGTACAAAGAAGTCGAAAGCACACTGTCTTTGGCAGATTTTTTTTGCTTTGTAGATGACTCTAAATGATGAGTTGGTTGAGATTCTGTGGCAGGTATTGTCAAGATGTTTAGTTATTGCACTTCCGATTGAACCAGTGCCTCCTCTTTGCAGCCATGCTGGGATGATGTTCTCTAACACGTTTTTATGATAAGACGTGCATAGAACGACCTATGTACCTAGCTCTGCAAGAGCATTATCGTTATTGAAACTTTCAGGTTTTGGCTACAATTGACCTACTTTACTAGTCTTAGGATCAATTATAAAACATCAACTAACCCTTTTTTTTCAAAAAATTATCTTTAAAAGTTTTGTAACTGATCATCTTCAAACTTACCTACTTAAACATCTTGTTAATTATCGTCAATTATTGGTTTTTAGAGATTCGACGGATTTGTTACAGGATTTCACTATGAGCTGATATCGGTTAGAGGACTATTAGAAAATCTGAGACTATTGGACAACTGCTTCGGCCTGGTTTGCGACTCTTCAGCAGTACTCGACTGACTTTATTCACGTAGGTAGTTGCCAGGAGTTATCGTGAGACAGCAGGTAGGATGTGAAGATAAGCGCTCACCGAAGACATTGTTTAATGGTCGCGCTATAACTCGTGAATTGGCAGAAGTTAGAACTCATGGTCTACTGGATCGGGCTCCATTGGTCTAATAGTCTACGCACTCGCTAGCCTTGTAACCGGAAGGTCCTAGGTTCAAATTGCTAGGGTGGGTGCGTACCATTGAAGAGTCTCAAACTAGGACGAAACAGCTGTCCAGTTTTCCGGTGTTGCCTTTCCAGTGATTCTCTAACCAATATCAGCTTATGATGAAATCATGTAACCAATCTTGTTAATTATTTTTATTCTTATATTGTTTATTTTGAATGAGCTTTCTTTCTGTAATATAAATAGAGATTGAAAATAAAATCGTTAGAAAGAAGTGTTTCTTTGAGTTTTATCATGCATTCACATCAATTAGAGAATCACTAAAAACCAGTAGGGCGTAAAGGACCGTTGTTTTATCCTAGTTTGGTACTCACCGGCAGTACGTACTTACCACCAGGACCTTATGGTGGATACTTAGTTGCAATGAGTCCCATAGTAGGACGAAACAGCTGTCGAGTACTTCCCATTGATTTTCGATGGTTCCCCTAATAATATCAATCCTTATTCAAACTTGATACAAATCAAATCCCTATAGACAAACTCTTGCGAATACGTTTTCTCTGAATAAAACTGTATGCTTCCGTATTATTGAATAATGTTTTCATGAATACAGTACATGATTACAAGCGTCTAACCATTATTCGAAAAGTATGTATGCACTGCACCGATATTGTTGCATCCAACTTTATCACGTATTATTAATAAAGTAAAAACTAATGCATTTTTTTTACTTTTCTGACTTTATTTCTTAGGTTTAATACAATTAAGACATGTGAAAGAGTTTAAAGCTGCCAAGGAACTAGAACAGCAGCAGCAGCAACAGCAACGGAAAGAAGAAGTCCATGAAGCAAAGTCAAAAGTGACGAAACATTCAAATATTGGTAAAATTCCACTCGGTCTATTCCCCGTTAGTACAACGTCAACTAGCAGTGGTCCAAGTAGTGGTGGAGCAGGTGTTAGCGGGCCAGGTAATACAGGCGGAGGTGTATTTGGAGCGCATTCATCAAGTCCATTTCATCATCTTCTTTCTGGTGGTGTACTCGGAGCTACTGTATTGACGCTAGCCGCTAAAGATGGTCGTTCAACAAAACATCAACAACAACATCAACAACAATCACAACAACCACAACCTCAAACATCATTAATTTCAGTAGATAAGCCAAACAAACAGTTGAGCATAGAGGAGGCTAACATGCCTGTCAAAACATGTGATCGTCAAAGGAGTCATCATAGCACTGAAGTATTCTTGGAGGAAACTCTTCAAGACAGTAATTTCACAGATTCACCACGTCAGTGTGTAGACAGTCATGAGGCTTTAGTTGAACTAACTCATCAAAATAAACTTCATCTGTCAAATGAAATAAGTCAGACGCCTTCAGAGAGTCATTCATCAAACAAACATCTTCGACGCCTTGATAAACTGCGAAATAAATTAGCACGTTCTGCAACAGTGACTTCATCATCACCGACAAAAAAGCATCCGCCTTATCAAATCACAAATAACAATCGTCAGCATCAATCACAGACAATTGGACTGCAAGAGACTTTAAGTGTACCAGGTTTGACAAGAGAATGGACTGATGACAGTGACTATACGGATGATTATAATATTTATAAAAGAAATAACTCCACAGAGACAGATGGTCGACCGCCTAGTTATGATAGTAGTAGTATGTCACTGCATACACACTCTGCTGTTTTATATAATGATCCTGCTCTGAAACAAACCGATTCATCGATTCAAACAAATCGTGGCTCCAGTTTTAAACTGCCAAATACTGATGTGAGTTCCTTTTCAAAACAATCAAGTTTAGAAAAGAATGATACAACAAAAGGTGTACAATACAATAATGCTTCGTTGAAAAATGAACAACGCGCAAATAGTGTAACGAATTATTTAAATATTTTTCAAAATTCTGGTTGTCAAACAAGGCTCAAACGATTAAGGGATAATTTTGAGAAAAGTAGAAGCTCCACGTATACCTGGAGACCAACATGGACTATGGGTGAGTTATTAGAGAATAGAACAGATGAAGAACAGCCGTTGATGGTCACCCGCATATCTGGTAGCGATTCCAGAGTTTTTCATATCTCTGAACCATTGAATACAACAGCGGAGAAAAAAACGACTACAAAACCGATGCCGATGCCGACGCCAACATCACTGCCTATGTCGATAACACCGCTGAAACAAGCATCATTTGAAGCTAGTGAAAATGTAAATTCTCAAACAGTTGACGTTTGTATCATTAAAAAGCAAGAGAGATATTCACCGAATGTAACAATAGAACAAATTCCTAGCGAGAAAGATGAAGATGAAGTGCAGAAGAGATCTATTGAAGCACCATTAATCAGTGTCGACTCAGAAGTGGAGGATACAAACGATGACAGTGAACCGAATATTATGCAACGTCGGTAAGTTCAGTTGCTTTTTCAAATACATTTTGAATTATTGTATTCGTTGAATGAGTATTTATTGGAAAGGGATATTTCTCAGTGTCAACTTCAGACATTACTGTATAGAAGTAGTCTTTGAATAAACGAATCTGTTGAATGTGGTAGGTCAAGGTTAAATATTACCACTGAATAACATCGGTCTGGAGAACTGTTGGAAATCAGTGAGAAAAGCCACTGACACTGGTTTTGTAATTCCTAAATGTAAAAATGTGTAACGATCAAAAGCGATTCACTGTGGTACGAACGCAGGGAGCCGACGTTTGTGTCCTACTGTAAAAAGCAGTCGGAAACTTATGTGATAGGCACACACACTTACAAAACGCTTCAATGACAGCATATAGACGAAGTTTATCTGACGCTCACTAGTCACTGCCAACAGGACGAAGTTGGCCTGCGTGCAGTTCTAGTGACAAGCTGTGAATTGAGTACAAACACTGTCCGATAACTCTGGCTAGTAGTCAAGGTAAAATACGGGTCTGATTAATATTATTATTTCCTATAATTTCTAGAGGAAAATAGGGCTTCAGCCGTTCGTCTCCATTGCGTTCGGTTCTCTGCTAGAGTCTTCACCTGGCTCCAAGTCTGCCCACACGTTTTCATCTCCTCTTCACATGACCTCCTCCAAGTCACCCCACCTTCACACTGACGACCAACTCGCCGCTTCCCTTTCGAGTTCCACTCGAGTGATGGCCTGTACTGCGTGTGATGTCACTTGATGACTTGTTTTCTCAGAGTATGGCCAGCCAATCCATCTCCATTTCTTCCTTCCTATTTGTTTCACAATCGGTTTCTGCTGAGTTGGTTCGCTCCAAGAGATCCCTTCCTGTTGCTGATCTTATCTGGCCATCTGATCTTGAGCGAAGACAACTGTTGATGGAGGTCTGTAGTTTGTTTGAGATGCTCTTCATGAGGCGCAGTGCAAAGTCTCTGATCCGTATAGTGAGTAGAATTGACTGACTTCACATTGGAGTTGAAAATCCAGATCTCATTTTTCAAGCTGGGTGCTGTTGACCTCCACAGACTTGAAAGTAGTGAAAGCTTGTTTTGCTTTTCCGATTCTTGCTTTGATATCCTCGTCATTTCCGTGTGCCTGTAGTTGAAACGATGTTTCCCAGGCAGGTAGTGGAGGAGGTTATTTCTTTCAGGTTCCTTCCATTTATGCTGGCTGATTGTTGTCTGTTGTTGTTGGTGGTGGTGGTGTTGGCCAGGAATCTTCATCACCTCTGTTTTCTCCATGTTCACCTGATGTCCTATCTTTGATGCTTCTTCTGCCAACTTGTTGCTTTTCGTTTGCATATCTTCCAGTTTGTGGGAAATCAGACATATGTCATCGGCGAAGTCCAAATCCTCCAAGTATTTTGTGTGGGTCTATTTTATGCCTGTTTACTCATTGCCCACTGTTTGTCGCATTATTCAGTCTACAGAAATCAGGAAAATCATTGGCGATAGCAGGCAGCCAGCTTGTCTTACTCCTGTCCTCACTTCGAAGGATTCCGTAATTTTCCCGTTGTGGATTACTTGGCATGCAGCATTGTCGTACAGCTGTTGGATGAGATGTATAATTGTCGGTGGCACACCGTAGTAGCGAAGTAGTGGCAAATGTACTTCTCGAAGTATCTCAGAATCAAGTAGATTATTCTCAACAAGGTGATATCTACAACTCTGCGTACAAGAATGACAAACTAACCTTTCCAACAGACAGACAGTTCAAAGGCCAAAATGACCCTGACTGACTAAAACAATTTCGCTTTATAAAATACATGTGTTTCAGAGCCACAAAGAGAGAGAAACTAGAAAGAACCAATGAAAAATAATAAGGATTAAATGAACAGATATAAAAATGTCGGAAAAATGATTTACAGTCTTGGAGGAGACGGATAATAGTTATAAAGTTAGTTGAAATATTCAAGTAGGCAACCATGCTGTAATTAGATCATTCAGTAGGGAATTTTCAAACAGTTATTCCTTTGATTCATTGAAGGATTTTATCATAGGCTGACATCAGTTAGAGAACCATTGGAAAGCCACCAGGGGTTAATGAACATCCGTTTCGTCTCATTTTTGAACTCTTCATTGGTACGCAGGTGAGGCAGTAACTTGTCGAAGAAGATATTGCGAAGTGGTCGCGCCTTTTAACCAGAAGGTCGTGCGTTCGAAAGCCATGTGATGGGTTTAAACTGTGAAGAGTCCCGAACCAGGTAGACGAAACAGATGTCCAGTACCCTCTGGTGGCTTACCAATGGTTCTCTAACCGATGTCAGTTCATGATGAAATACCCCAACCAATCAAACAACATCCCCACAAAACCAATACTTGGAAAATTATTCCTTAACATAAAAATCAATAGGTGTTTTCGAATCTAAAAAATTCCTAATAATTTGCTTACTACCTTACTCAGTGGTAATGACTTTTATCCAAAATACAAGAAAAAACTTGAACACTGTGGTAGAGTGTGATTCTATTATGAGTAGATTTTGTTTTGATAAAGTAATGTTTACTGATGACGTTTAGAGCACAATTTATTGCTCATAATCATTTCAAGGTAATCACACGACTTCCTAAATTCATTTATATAGTTCCATTGTTTTTCACTTGATTTTCATTTGATTTGATTGGTAGTATTATTTTCCATATTTCAGGTATGAGTGATGATTCATTCCTATTGCATGTGTTGGGTGTAGATTCGATGAACAAGGATTCAGTAATCAACCTCTCTCTCCACCTACCTAGATTACTTTTTAGAATTTTAACCCTCTCCCACCCTATTGTGTGGTTGTGTGCTAATGCATGCATTGCAGTTGCTGAGCTTTTTTCTAAATTACTTATCTTCTCTGGGTCAACCATTCTTACCTTAGCTAAATTCTTATGTTCTGACAATCTGGCTACCCCTGACCTACTAGTTTGACCTATGTAGTTGACTTAACCTACAGTCATTGCAAGGTATTTTGTAAATTATACTATTTTTCTAATTGGGTCCACTGGGTCCTTTAACCTACAAAGCTTGTCCTATCTGAGTGAGTTTGTAGGTTTGAATGCCTTCACCCTAATTCCTGCTTTATTTAGAATCCTACGTAGGATCTCAGATGTCCCCTCCTTATATGGTATAATTGAAGATGACTTATATTCTCTCTTAATTATGTTCATATTACTAGTTTCACAATTCTTTCTGTTTTTCTTTTGGCGTTTTTCAATCTTCCTAATGAATTTTAAAAGATAGTTATTTAACACCAACGCCTCTTCTATCTGTTTTATTTCATCATTTAGGTCTGTTTTGTGCTTCTTAGTGCCATCGCTTGGTTTGTTAAACACTTTACTAAGCCTGCCTTGACAGTTAAAGGGTGAGATGAATTAAAGTCTAAATATCTGTTAGAGTGCGTTGGTTTTCTATAAACACTAGTGTGTAGTTTGTCTTCTTCTATTCGTTTTATTTTACAATCTAGCATAGCTAATTCTCCTTGTTCATTTTCGGCTTCAAATGTGAATTTTATTCCCTCCACTAGTGAATTTATGTGTGTCAAGAAGCTAGAGATATGTTCTGTTTTTAACACTGTGAAAGTGTCATCCACATATCTCAATCATATTTTTGGAGTAGGATTAAACGTATTAAAAGCCGTATTTTCCCAGCTATCCATAAAAATGTCTGCTAGGATAGGAGATATTAGTGATCCATCCCATTGCTACACCTTCAGTTTGTCTATATAATTTGCTTTGGAACTTAAAGATAGTAGATGTGAGGCACAAATGAATTCCTGAAATAATTTCATCAGTGGGTAGTTTCGTCCTATAAGTGAGTTCAGGGTCTGCAGACAGATGAGAGCTCAAAAAATTACTTCTGAGATTCAGATTGTAGATGACAGTGTCAATAAGCACAAAAGTTACCTATTTAGAATAGTATTAACTTGCCAACAATAGTTCATAGTATGTACCAAGACAGTGAGTAGTCTGTAGTATTGGCTGGACTAGACTCTGTTTGCAGTGTAATACGTGTCTTCTATTATTTATGACTTTTAACAAGTCACCATAAGAATATATAACGAAGGTATTCACATATAAGCAGTAGATTCAATCTCACCAGAGGTCTGTTTGAATATCAAACATTTCTCAGTTTGATACAAGTTTATGACTTCTCCATTTCAATGTACATCTGGTTTTGTAACAGACGACTGTATTCCCTAATGATTTCAGGCGGATTTGTCAAAAATGATTTTACAACAACAACAAAAGAGTAATAATACCGCATTACGACATTTCTTCCGAAACATTTAAGACGGAGCCAGAAATTACGGAAGATGTTCCCACTCTATTACTGCAAAAAGTTTGAAAAAAAGGAAAATTGCTTACTGATTGGAAGAATGGTTACCTCGTCAAGCTGTCAAAGAAGGGCGACTTAGGCCTGTGTAAGAACTGGCGTGGAATAATGCTCTTGTCCACGACAAGTAAAATACTAAGTCGCCTCATCCTGGAGAGAATAAAAGATGCACTGGATACACAACTCCGTCACCCGCTGTAACAAGATAGATTTGGGAACGATAAACCATGTGCTGATCAAATTTCAACCCTAACCATCATCTTCGAACAAGGCATAGAATGGTAGTCAGACCTCTCTCCACCTCAACATCGGCTTCGAAAAGGCCTTTGACAGTGTAGATGGATAAGTAATTTGGAAACTAATTCAACACTAACGCGTACTTCAAGTCTTTATCAACCTCATTCAACAACTATATGACATATTAGTTGACCCACAGTGGAAAACTCAGCGAGGCGTTCGAAGTGCATACACGAGTAAGACAAGCTGGCCGCCTACCTATTATCACCGATGATATTCTTAGTTGTGGGGGGCAAGGAATCAGGAATTCACTGGACCACCGATAATAAGGCTCTAGAAGACATAGATTTCGCAGATGATACATGTATAATGTCACACAAACTTGAAGACTTACAGGCGAAAACCAAAAAAAACTG